CTAAGCGTTGTCTGGCCGAGTTATCAGCGTTGAAAAATAAATTTATTTTCAATGCTCCATCTATATATCTATTTGAATCTATGTATTTATGCGTTTAAACTAAAATTATTTGATGGGAAGGTATTGTTAGTAATGGGGAGGTTAGTCCCCGTTGCTACCAGTTAATCCTATCAGGTCTATCTCTACAAGTTAACTGTCCTTGCCCTGGAAACTATCGTGACTAATTTATCATTGAATTCGTCACGATGCGCTTTTTTTAATGGATGATAATGGAATGGTCACCCCGCCTGCGCTATCGGTATATGTTACACTAGCACTGGTGCCCACCAGTAAGGATGAAAAGGAAGGATGAAAAGAAAGCTCAGTTAGCCCATCGTGACGAATTCAACGATAAATTAGTCACGATCGTTTCCAGGGGGAACCGCGTGGAGGTCGACCTGATAGCAATGGGAACTAACCTCCTCATTACTAGCAATCCATTCCCCTCGTCACGATCTGCTAACTGACCTGGTTTTTCATCCTTACTCAACCTTTTTTATCCTCGCCGGTGTATACCGATAGCGCTGACGGGATTATCATTCCTTTATCATACATTAAAAAAAAAACTAACGTTATACAGTGGAAATACCTAAATGGTCACGTATAGTGCGGTTTCAGAGAAATTTTCTCCCACGAACGCTCAGGCTGTGGAATGAGCTCCCTGCCGAGGTTTTCCCTATGGACTGCGGAATGGAGTTCTTCAAAAAGGGTATATTAAGATTTCTTCACGGTCGGCAACGCGCACGTGACACCCCTGGTGAATAGGGGGGAAGGGTCTAATTTTTTTTTTGATGGGTAAAAGAAAATGTTTTTGCTTTGAATTTTATTTAATTTAAATAAATTACTTATAGTTTTATAGAACGCGAATAATAAATATAAATTGTAAAAATATTGCGTTAATCTCACGTAAGTCTTGATCGAAAAAATACGTAATTAATGGATGCCCCCTTATATATGACCTATTAAAAAAATTTACTAAAATTGAAAATGGTATGGTAACCCCGCCTGTGCTAATGGGATACACTGGCGGAGCACCAATGAAGGGTGATAGATGAGAATGAAAACACCTGAGTCCTCAGGAATGGCAACGCATGGGGGGTATCATGGGCGAAACAGTATACTCTGTTATGTCCATGGTACTGCTCATGTCTATAGGCGACGGTTACCACTTTCCGTCAGGTGGTTTCAGTAATTTTCCAGTTTATTTTCCGAAGCCATCCTGAACCTCGTGTGTCCACGTTCAGACACTATTTGCGTTAGCCCATCATGATGAATTCATCATGATGGGCTAACTGGCAAACAAGCTGTTTTCATTATAAACATGAGCAGTACCATGGACATAACAGAGTATACTGTTTCGCCCGTGATACCCGCCATGCGTTGCCATTCCTGAGGACTCAGGTGTTATTCCTCCGTACCCAGTAAATTCACGCCGAAAACCGAAACACAGCCATGCAAACACAACTGCTTTACGGTTGAAACACGAATGGGACAGAGGTACCAAAGCAATCGACTTTTGTACAAAGTCTCCCTCTGGTAAAATTGAGGTACCACGCCATTATATTATATTTATTAATAATTTAAAATAATTTAATCACAATTTCCATTATTTACTAATATTGTTAAATATCTTTATTCGTTAATGACATTTAATAATTTAACTCTATTTTAATGTTTATCAAACACAAGTCATGCTGTGGTTGCCTATAAATGTAAGTACAGTTAGATCTAATCTACCAGTGTGGGGAGAAAGGGATTGTTAGCAATGGAGTTTGACAGCCCTATTGCTAACAATATGCCTTATTAGGTCGACCTCTACGTGGTTCCCCCTGGAAACCATCGTGAACAATTCTTGTTGAATTCGTCACGATGAGCTAATTGACCTACTTCATCCTCGCCTATCATCCTTCACTGGTGCCCCGCCGGTGTATACCGATAGCGCGGGTAGGGTTACCATTCCATTATCATCCATTAAAAAAAAATCTGCCAGTGTATTGTATTGAAATGCTTCGCTGTATCTTATATTGGTATAATAAATAAATAAAGAAAGAATTATGAATGACGTAGTTATGAGGTCGCGAACATAAAAAAATTATACAACCGACTTTAATACCTCCTCCTTTTTTGAAGTCGGCTGCAAAGTTTAAATATTAGAAGGTATGCTCTAGATTGCAATACGTACGCCGCCGAGAGAGAAGTCAAAATCTATTCAAACACATGTGAAAAATGGCGAACTCAAACCATCAGTCATGGTGTTCAATGGAAAATTGTTTTGGCGCATTCCTGAATCGCTCTCGTCTCTACTGGATGAATGATTCGCATTTTTGCCTACCCACGCCGCTTGCTGACATACGGTAAAGCAGTTTGTCTGTCGCTCTCTTGAAATTACATTCACCAGAGGGCAACTCTGTACAATAGTCATCTGCAGGGGGGAAAAAGCTCGTTAGCAATGGAGTTTGACAGCCCCATTGCTAGCAATATGCCTTATTAACCTTCACGTGGTACCCAATGGAAACCATTGTGAACATTTCTTGTTGAATTCGTCATGATGGGCTAACTGACTTGTTTTCGTTCTCATCTATCACCCTTCACTGGTGCCCCGGCAGCGTATCCCGTTAGCGCAGGCGGGGTTACCATACTATTTTCACCCATCAAAAAAATCCCTTCAAACCGAAAATCAATGGACCGGCAGCACGTTTGTCGTGCTAAGTATCATAAAAAAAAAACTATCTTTTTTTTATTTTTTACGATATATAAATATTTGTTAAATAAACTTACGTGCTCTGTGTCCCATTTAGAACTGTTTACACAAGAATTGTTATTTCTGCCCTCTTGCCTATAATGTTTAACTTTGATATTAATATTAAACTAATATTGGAACGTCTTATAATTAGAAATTCATTAAAATACCATTGACTCATCACGGTTGATTTAGTTCAGTGTTTTTCAAAGTATGGGTCATGACCCCTTAGGGGGTCCCCGAGCCTCTACAAGGGGGTTGCGGAAGGTCGCGAAGCAGTGAAAAATCAACAGTTCCATAAATACATCAATCAATCAATAATACATAATGAAGTATCTATAACAGACATCGATTACATGTCTGTTTTAAATACTTTATTATGTATTATTTATTTTATTTTATCGATACCTAACTGTGAATATAAATACAACTGTACGGATTTCATAATTGTACTATAGTAAAATTCATACACATTCGAAACCGTGGAGGGTAGGGGGTCGCAAGATATTTTTACATACTAAGGGGGTCGCAAGACATTTTTACATACTAAGGGGGTCGCAAGACATTTTTACATACTAAGGGGGTCGCTAGATATTTTTACATAATAAGGGGGTCGCAAGATATTTTTACATAATAAGGGGATCGTAAGATATTTTTACATAATAAGGGGATCGCAAGATATTTTTACATACTAAGGGGGTCGCAAGATATTTTTACATAATAAGGGGATCGCAAGATATTTTTACATACTAAGGGGGTCGCAAGACATTTTTACATACTAAGGAGGTCGCTAGATATTTTTACATAATAAGGGGGTCGCAAGATATTTTTACATAATAAGGGGATCGTAAGATATTTTTACATAATAAGGGGATCGCAAGATATTTTTACATACTAAGGGGGTCGCAAGATATTTTTACATAATAAGGGGATCGCAAGATATTTTTACATAATAAGGGGGTCGCAAGATATTTTTACATACACAACAAACTTAAAAACAATCTTTTTTTGGGCATATAATAAAATGGGCATGTAATAAAAAACGGTTATTTTAAAAAGCAATCATGATTTTAAGTACTATTATTAATTTAATAACAATTATAATATAAAAAAATCCGAGTCGGACTCGCCCAACGAGGGTTCTGTACAAACTCATCAAGTTTAAATATTTATTTTAGTTTAAAATCTACAAATTTACTAGTTTCATATTTTTCCCTTTAGCTGTGCTACATAACATTGCTTCTTGCCAAAATTCATGACTTTGAGTCCACAGGAAGTACTCTATAGGTTTTAATTCCCTTTGCGAATGTCAAAATATGCGATATAAATGGAACATAAACGGCCGTATCTTTTGATTGCGTCGATTTAGAAGCTTGATTTTTTCACTGCTTTAAGAGATTGCAAACCTGAATATATGATATTAATTTCAACTTGATACCTCGACGCATTCCTAAAAAAAAAGATCTTAATAGACAACGAAGTGATCCTATAAGGGTTCCGTTTATTCCTTTAGAGGTACGGAACCCATAAAATGTATGAAAGATTTATCAACTTATAACCATATTTATTGTATGTAAAATCTTAATCGCATCATGTAATTTCTTACATAAATAAGTCGTTTATGTTATGTCACAATGTCCCCATACACTTCCGTGTTATTATATTTCAAAAACATTCATGTCGTGGTACTCGTAAAATAATAAAGGTAAGTAAACCAGTGTTTCGGGTTCCGGGTTTCGTTCACACAGTGGGAATTAGCGATTCTTTTGTATATGAATTAATTACTAAATTAAAAAGCTGATTGAAAGTGGATTAGTGATGTGCCGAGTTTTTTTTTAGTATTCGAAGTATTACATACATAGATACATATCTGTCACGCCTGTCTCCCATTAGGGTAGACAGAAACAATGGAACGCCAAATGCTTCGATTCAAACAAACCTCTTTCGCTTCTTCCTCATCTTCTTCAAAGTATTATAAAAACATATATAATATTAAAAATGTCTATGTATCATACGAGCCTTCAACTGAAACTGAAAATCGTTTCAATCGAACTATAATCGACATACGAACCATAAACCAAGATTTGTTTATACTTTATGATGTTTTTTTTTTATGGAAATAATATAATTTAAGTATTTCCACAATTTTAAAAACCTGTTTCGTTAATAAACCAACTAACTTTTTTGTTACACAAAACAAAAACGATTCAAGTTTACTTACTTCATCTTTGGAGATATTGGAAACTTCGTTGGGAATGTTTGAGGAATAATCAATGATATTATCAATTTCCTTCTCATTTTCAAATACGTCGTCCACTTTGGGTGCTACAGTAACGTTCAGTACATTGTATTCAATGGTTGCATCCTTATATAATTCTATATAATCTATATTAGGATAATCTGTATTATTCTCGTCATCAAAATTAAAATATGACTCGTCAAATGATACTTCGTTATCTTCTAAATTCTCTACATTAACAATCATATTGTTAACTTCCTTTATAACATTTTCAGTTACTGTTAAAACATGGGATTTGTTCACGTTTATTGTTATCTCTTGCACTGAATCTATGGTGTCTTCAGGTTCTGTTGTAGTCCCATTATCAGCTTCAAACTCCATTGATTTATCATTGAATTCAAACAATTTTATTATTAAATGCGTTTGATTATTACTGTAAGATTTAGATAACACCGATTCCGATGTAACTGCTCCGTCACTTTCATTTTTTAACAAAGACGAAATATCCGTTATTATTTTAGTAAATTCACTACCGTTAACGTCCTTCACTTCGTAATAGGTAAAGTTTTTTGCATTATTTTCAATATTTGTCGTATTGTTAATTTTACCAAAGAAATTGTTAATGAAATCACCTAAACACTTCAAATAATTGTCACATTCACTATTCACACCGACTAGCACGAGACACAATGTGAGAATATATTTTAAATACATTTTACAAAGAGCTTTCGATAGAAGCGTGTTCGCTATGCAAGTTATAGTAAACAAATGCATGTGTAGATGAATAAATACAATTATGTTACGACGATGGGCAAAGTTGAATTTGCAATTAAATTAAACTTTAACATCTTGCGTTTAAAATTCAAATTAATGTGTGAATTCTGTTACGTAGTTTTTGCTTCACCTTGAGTATTATAATAAAGACGCTGATGGATGAGCAGTTTTGGGGGAATAATAGGATTTGTATAAAAGCCTTAGATGATTTGATGTAATCTGAATAGTGTTTGCTTGTACTTAACACTAACTTTGTCCCGTGACTTTTCTTAATAAATGTAAATGGAATGGTAACCTAGCCTGCGCTGTTATTTACATTGACTAATTATTACATAATAATCAATTAATGCGTGTTTTGTACAGTCTCCTTCTGATCATACAGGTATCATCATTTCATACAGTCCATCCACGTCTTTTTACGTCTCCCCCTGCCCTTATAACCTTCCACATTTATACTTAATACCATCCTTAAAACATGCCCTACATCCCAGAGCCTCACATGTCCGTATACAATACTGAGGTAATAAGGTAATGGGAATATAAAAGAAAACTTAATGCAATATAGTACTCCACTATAATGATACTTGAGAAAAAGTAACCTACCTTTTTTTTTTCTTGATACGAACATGATCTTAAGTGTATTATATCCCGACAATATATAGTGATCCCAAGGGACCATAAATCAAAACTTCACAGAAACAAAGGTACGAAATGAAGGTACAAATATAGGAAAAACTGGATATATTTATTATATCTTATTTGTACTCTTAAATATATCTTTGCTAGGGATTGTTAGTAATGCGGACTGCTAGTCCCATTGCTAGCAATATGCCCAGTCACGTGGTTCCCCCTGGAAACCATCGTGCTGAATTTCAGGTCTATTCAACACGATGGGCTAATTGACCTGCCTTTTTATTCTCACTTATCATCCTTCACTGACGTTCCGCTAGTGTGTACCGTTAGAACAGGTGGGATTACTATTCCATTATATATATATATATATATATATATATATATATATATATATATATATATATATATATAACATAGTACCATGGACATAACAGAGTATACTGTTTCACCCATGATACCCCCCCATGCCTTGCCATTCCTGAGGACTCGGGTGTCATTCCTTTGTACCCAATAAATTCACGCCATATCCCACCCCTCAAGCCGAAACACAGCCATGCAAACACAACTGCTTCACGGTTGAAACACGAATGGGACAGAGGTACCCAAACAAACGACTTTTGAACAAAGTCTCCCTCTGGCCTTATTTATAATCTTAACAATAACAACGCATAAGCGATGCTATATTTATGTACTTATATCTATACATATGCTGGATATATCTAGAAGATTTTTAATTACAGATGGGTATCGGATATCTAAAACATTTGTTATTGGGTTAATATATGTATAGACACTGTAACTAAAATATATACGTAGATATTGCTATATATTACACACACTCACTTTTAATTTTTTTTTTAATTTTCCTAAGAATAAGCTAACTGAAGTGGCAATGGGCTAAACACATAAGATGGGAAAAAGGTTCTTGAATGGCGATTCCGTACTAGATGGAGTGACGAATGAATTGACGACGTCAAATGCATTACACGAAGTCAGTGTATGCAAGTGGCTCAGGACCGTTCTTTATGACAGTCTATGGGAGAGGCTTATGTCCAGCAGTGGACGGGTAATGGCTGAAATGATGATGACGGTAAAAAAAAATATTAATATCATGTAATTTTTCAACATAGTATAACGATGTAAATTCTTGAATAAACCTTAAAAGATATCTATATGGTAATTAACGCTCCTTTCCACTCAGGGTTTGCTGGAAGAGAACTCTTACAGAGTTGAGCTCGCCTGTTGTACATCTTTATTATATATATATATATATATATATATATATATATATATATATTTCATATTTTTTAATAGAAACATCTATAAAGTTTCCGTCTATTATTGTACGCATACTGCCCACTAATAATTAATGCTCCTCTCCACTCAGGGTTTGCTGGAAGAGAACTCTTACAGAGTTAAGCTCGCCTGTTGTGCATCTTTATTTTATATATATTATTAATGTAATTTTTTGTATAGAATTAAATATACGTAAATAAATTTTTTTAAATTATAAAAATCAATATTTACTGGTGTATATATAATAATACAATTACATACATAAAACCTTCAGTTTTTATGTGTATGTAAAATAACGCACGATTTTAAACGTTCAAATTGTTTAATAATAATAATAATAACTTTATTGCATAACCACGATTGTAACAAACTCAGCATTGGAAATTACAGTAAAAGTAGATACGAATTCATTTGTACATTTGGATCAGCCTAAACATCTGTGTCTGAACTAGGTTATAAAGCCTGTATCTCAGACAACAGCGCTCAACCCACATTACATAGTATAATAATAGTTCAGCTAAATTTTTAGTGCTACATATAGAATGTTGATTTTATATAAAGTTAGTTTATCTAATTATAACAATTGGCAATAATGAAAATTGTGAAATAATGTTCAAATTGTTATTTGATGTTTTATTTAAAAAGCTTAATAAACCTAAAATCAGTTGTTTATATTAATAAAAAAATAATATTTTTTATTTATTCATTATTCATACATAGAAATCCCTATTGTTAAATTAGAGATATAAGGATGAAATCCAAGCATGAAATTTTGTACACAAAGTGGATTAAAACCCAGTACCAAATTTCATACAAATCCTTTGTCCTTTAAATGTATTTGAATAACAACTTTCTTTGTGAACTTTCACATTTATAATATCAATGGTATAAATAAACATTTATTTCATTTAAATTCAAAACTATTAAGTCTACGTTTAACGAGAAAATAACAACGACATATTACGTTCCGTAGAAAAAACTGAATTCAATTGTGACAAAATTTGTTATTTTGATTACAAAATTACTATACCGATTTTGATATATATTTTTATTCTTAAGGGCTTTTACCTTCTTCGGGTATATCAGCCATATCGTGCCTGATATGAACTGATTTCTCAGATAGGGTTTTATCTGCTTATTTTTTTTTTATGGAAAGAAAGAAATTAATGGGCGTTAATAATTTAAAAGAGATGTTAGTTTTTTTTTTATTTGGGTTCAGTTAATTACATAAAACCAGTATATAATATATCTGTAAGCAAAAAACAATCCAAATAAGTTTACAACTGACGAAGATATTAGGTAGAAAAACATAAGGAAAAATACAATCGAATGTTAAGTCTGTTTCTTTTTGAACCAGTATTTGTCCATTGCTGGACATAGGCCTCCCCATCGACTGTCATAAGGAACGGTCCTGAGCCACCTGCGTCCACGACTCCCTGCTACGCATTCGAGGTCGTCAGTCCATCTAGTGGGGGGTCGTCCTACACTGCGTTTGCCTGTACGTGGTCGCCACTCAAGAACCTTTCTCCCCCATCAGTTTCTTCGAGCTATATGACCAGCCCATTGCCACTTCAGCTTGCTTATCCTTCGGGCTACATCGATTATTTTGGTTCTTTTGCGGATATCTTCGTTTCGGATTCTATCACGCAAAGAGACTTCGAGCCTATATATATATATATAGCCCTCTCCATAGCCCGCTAAGTAACTTGAAGCTATCAGAATATTATATTTGAATAAAACATAAAAACTAAGCCACTCTGTTTACGTAATAATCGGAAAACGAACGTTTAAATTATAGAATGCGGTAATAATAACAGAAAAAAAAAACTCAATTATTTATCGTTCTAACATAATAACACATTATATAAATATGTTACGACTTGTTCCTCATTCTCACGACAATCAATTTTATCTCTCGAGAGTCCGCTGTGTTGCGTACACATTTAGGGCACATTATTCGGACATTCCTCGGCTTTTTTTTTATTATAATAATAATAATAATATTTCTTTCTTTCACAATAGAATAGAATAGAATAGTAATCATTTATTCAAATAAACTTACATTGAAGCACTTTTGAAAAGTCATTACATTTTTTTTAATCTACCGCTCGTTCGGAAAGCTGTCTCATCACAAGAAGAACGAGCAAGAAACTTGCGTGCAATGGCACTTGATTTATACATTTTATAATAAATAAAATATATATAGACTGCAATTATTATATTATATTCTTACGTGCTTTTGAAAAACAAGGAGAGAGGGAGACTGTACAAAAGTCGTTTGCTTGTGCACGTTGTGTGAAGCAGTTGTGTTTGCATGGCTGTGTTTCGGTTTGAAAGGTTGGACATGGCAGTGAATTTACAGGGTACAGAGGAATAACACCTGAATCATGGGCGAAACAGTATACTCTGTTATGTCCATGGTACTGCTCATGTCTATAGGCGACGGTTACCACTTTCCATCAGGTGGGCCGTCAGCTTATTTGCCATTCTAAATTGCATAAAATAACACATGTTTTTTTTTTTTTTTATAAACCGAAATGTCCTACAAAACCCAGTACAATTATCCACAAGAATCGTGATACCCAAACGCAGTCTAACAATAAAATTAGCGATCCATTCGTCACAGTTGCTCAAATTAGAGATTAAGTGATGTATGTGACCCCCGCGGTCACCGGTTACGACACCGCACTGACCCCCATTGCACAGGCGACCTCTAGCGTAATAGTTTAGTCTATCGATGTAATACTGTGATTGGGTTAAACCAATTTTAAAAAGGTTATCTAAATTATTAATTTGTTTATGTATTAATAGTTGTAGCACTTCAGCTGCCCGCTAACGAAATGCTTTCTTACTGTACTGGGTTGACTGGAGGAGATCTCTGTCAGAGATAAGCCCACCCTTGCTCACAACATTTATAAATACATTACTTTATATGTAACTTACAAGTGCAATAAAGAATATATATATATCGGTTACAGGATCGGGACAAAATAACTGATTTCGAAAAATTTATAATAAAACTAGCTAACCCCGTAAACGTTGTTTTACCACTTATTGCGAAATATAAAAATCG